TTTTCCAACTCATTTTGAATCGCCTCAATCGGATATCTAAATACAAAGTTATGATAAAAACACAGAAAGAAGGTGTAGCTGCCTGTTTAAAACAAGAAATTCCGTTACATAATCCGTTAAAATAACAAATTCCTTAGTTTTTCCGTTAAAAACAAGAAATTCTGTTACATAACCACTTTTAATATATAGAAGATGTTACGATACCTATTAAATATTTAACTTAAATTCAATATTAATATATACGTCAAAATAGATTACAATATAACAAAGATTGATATTATAAATAGCGATTACTTCTTGAAACTTTAAATTTTATGGTCTTCCCGAGTTTCAAAATCTTTGGTGGATCAAGAAATGTATGCACGAGCGTACACACTTAGGTTCGATCATCATTTTCCTTCTCTAAAAATGTCTATTGTTTTCTTAAATATGAGAAAGATTCAAACCTTATATATTCTAATTAAGGTTCTAAAATGCATAAAGTGTGACAAGGCGTGGAGATCAAGTATGGTATAATAAGACGTTTTCCAAATTTATAGGAATTTTATACATATATTTTTAAGTTCTCAACAAAACTAATTCTCAAAATCATTAATACTTCAAATAATAATGCTTTGTTAGTAGATAGAGAAAGTTATGTTTCTGGCCTAAGTTTGCGCTAGTAGTCGATTTTTTTTAACGTATTTTTCTTTTTGAGTTTTAACAAAACTTTTGACATTTTGTTGGACTTACTTCAAAATAAGAAAATATAAATTGTCGAACAGAAATATGCACATCTTTTTTCGCCTGGACTGCCAACATAGAGTAGATCGTCTTTTTTTTCTGTTGCCATTGCCCATGGACCTTTTAGAATGTTGATTCTACCACATCAAAAATGTGAACATAAACCCACCAGATGTCAAGCCTAATTACAAGAAATTTCACATTTAACGACGTATACTCTAATTTTTACAAGCCTTTATTCTGAATTAAAGGATGATTGAATAATATTCAGCCCAATTATTTTACATTCAATCGAGCTTATATACACAGAGATAACTATACATATATAGAGAGAATATTCTATCTAACAACTTGACATGTGGCCTAACATATTAAAAATGCATTCTAGTATCAGCATGTGCCATTGTCTTCCACTTTGGATATGGTTAGATGGTTGGCTGCTAGGTAATAGTGTCATGTTCAATTTATTACTCGAACACCCACTCTCAAGATGGAGTTGGTTTCAACCACTCCAAGCTTGTCTTTTAGAAACAAAAATCTGGAGTGAGTAAGATGCTTTGTCAACAAATTTGCTGTCAGATTTGATGATGATATGTAATTGATTTCCAATTCGCCTCTTAGTGCTTTATCACGTACAAAATGAACATCAAGTTCAATATGTTTGGTGTGTGCATGGTAGAGTGGATTTGATGCCGCGCACTTGCGCTCAAGTTATCACACCAAATTCTTGGAATTGTCCTTTGTGGTCTGTTCAATTCCAGCATTAAAAATTGAATCCATGATATCTTAGACGCACTGTGAACCAAAACTCGATATTCACCCTCAATACTCGACCTCGCTACAACTTGTTTTTTCATAGAACTCCGAGATATTAGATTGTCTCCAAGATATACACAATACCCTGTTGTAGACCTCATATCATCTGGACACTGTGCCCAATCAGAATCAGCAAATGAATTAATGTCAAGGTTGTCGCTTTTATGAATGGTAAGACCATGATTTAATGTTCCCATCAAGTACCTGAACACTCTCTTTAGTAACTTCCAACGAGTACATCTGTAGGAGTTAGAAGAAATTGGCTCATTCTGTTTACACAAAAGGTGATATCTGGTCTAGTATGTGCCAGATATTGAAGACCTCCTAGTTTTAGTGTCAAGCTTATAGAGTTGGAACTGTCAATTTACTATTTTGGAATGTACTTTTCAGAGAGTTCGTCAAAGTGTTAGAACGAGGTCAAAATTGAAATGGATAACAACATTTTATTTGTATTTGGATGATATTTTAAATTTTACTAACTTGATTAGTCAATATCAGTTGTTCTTTACCAAAATTTCGACTTAAGAATCTCGTGAATGCCTTCAATAACTTCATTGACATTATACTTATGCAAAAAACTTATTTTTCTTGAACACCAACTTAACTCCATTAATAAAATTTACATTGACTTAAGTAAAAAAAATCTATTTACATATTTCAATCCATGAATTTACCTTTCAAACCCAAATCCAAGCAATAAGTACCTCTCTCATCACACTATTTCAACGTATCCTCACAATCAAGATGTCGAATTCATCTAAAGTGCAGAGCACGGATAAGAGTTTCAAAAGGATTCGTTATAGTGTAGGTGCAAAAGAAGCGCAAAAACTATCGAAGAAGCACTCCATGTGAGCCGAAGATGCGATGATAAAACACCTATTGGCGATGGATACTTTCCTAATAGAGAGACTGGCCCGTCCCTATTTTTCATTAATTTTATAATTTGGAATTTAAATAGTATAAAAATAAATATTTTTCAATAAGATTTCAAGCATATAATCCTAGAATGTAGGCATATTTTTGCAAGGACCAAAATGAAAATTAAAAAAATGTTCATCTTTAAGTACCTCCTTGAAAGAAATTTTTCTGCATTAGTCAAACAACTCCTATGAAAAATACAAAATTGCCCTCTACTTTAAATAAACCAAAACAAAAGACAAACAAAAAAGAAAAGAGAAAGAGGGTTAAAAAGTAACCAAATGTATCCTCAAAAAAGAAGAATAACAAAGAGGTCATCTTCGTCCTTCACGTCCAATCACCACCTATTCGACCGATCAGTTTTCTTTCACTCCAACCCCCACCTCACATATAATAGATGTGATAGTACTACCGCCTTTGCGATGAAAAGTAGGTGGAGATTTTAATTTTTTGATTAGGTTGTTGGGATTATAAATTTTAAAAACATATGACACGCTAAGTGTCTGAAATTGTCAAATAATTCATAAATGCATGGCCACTGCCTTGAACATTATCAACCAAATAAAGGTTCAATTTCAGTAATGGTATGTTTGATTGCTATAGTGGAATTTGAGTGGAAAAGAAAATGAATTACAAAAAATTGAATTGTCAGAATTGTTTTTGTGAAAATTGTCAATTAATTGTGTTTGACTGGTATAATTTTTCACTTAGAAAATGGTGAAATTTTGAATCTTTTAGTATTCGTTTGACTTTATTTTTTTTTACAATTATCCATAGAATTTGTTTTCATTACAATTAAAAAAAAACACTTGGAAACCATTTTCGGTGGGAAAACCAATTCATTGAATTCATGGCAAAGGGACCACGGGGGGGTTGGGTGGAAAATATTTTCTATGGAAAGGAGTCACATATGCATTGTAATTAACTATTGATCAGCACAAAAGATTTATTACAAAACTTCATTCAACAATTTACATCAATTTGACTTGACTTGACTTGACTTGACTTTATCGACTTTAAGTGAATTTTTCTTCGATTGTTCTTTTTTTTTTTTAGCGTGACAAACAACTTGGCGTCTTTCCTCAAACCTCCCTCATGTGAGCAAATTTTCAAGGATTTTACCTTTAACATCTCTAACAAACCACAACTCATAAAGAGAGTCCAAATTAACGTCATCCCATGAGCACATATTCCACAATAAATACAGACACCTTCCTAGCCCACAATATTTTTGTGTAATGAGCACGCAGAATTGGACGAGTAAAAGATGTTGAAAGTGTTAGGCTTGTTTGGATAAAATTATAAGTTGTTAAAATTATAATGTGATAGAAATGAGTAGCTAGTAGGTAAGTGAGT